TTTCTGTCAATATGGGGTGCTGTGTGTACATTAATGAGGAAAAAAAATTAACTTAAATGATTTTAGCAAATGGCTGCAATATAACAAAGAGTGAAAAATTTAAGGGGGTCTGAATACTTTCCGTACCCACTGTATGTATACATATGTATGTATATGTATATATATCATATCTAATGTTTATATTATCCTAGATGAGCGCTGTCCATTCATACAATCTTGTTCATTATAGTACAAATAAACGCTTATTTTATCATGTCTTTAAAATGTAACGAAGAGCTCCAGATCAGCGAGAAGTTTACCATGCATATTTAAAGTGTTGTTTCTGGTGTTTTACATGTGTACAGTATTCCCTGCTCTCTATATGATCTGAACCGCTACTGATGTTGTGAAGATGTTTGCTGAAGATATTTCGGTTTAACTCATTCTCTCTGTGTGCGTTTCTCCCAAGACTCGCTGAGTCTCGCACTAACCCCCAGATGCTGGACATTGGGGTAAACCCTCAGGACTACAACCCTGAAGAGTGCTTGTCGCCTAGCAACTGGGACAAAGCCGATGCTGAGGCTGCCGACGCCGAGGACGCGTTCGGATTCTGATCGGCGGTTCGCGGAGGAACGATCTGATCAGACGACACTGAAGGGAATGGAGCTCGCTGCGCGTCTCAGCGGCGCCCTCTGGCGGCCGTAGCTGATTCCTCGGCCGGCTTTGAGTTGACATGCGTTTCGGCAAACCCAACGAGATGACTTCAACAAAAGCACAGACCAAAGCAATACTTTTTTCCCCTTTTTATTATCCCCCCCGAATTACGTTTAAGTATAGTGACATTTAAAGTTTTCTGTTACTTCCCATAAGTTGCTTTTTTCTTTGTATTTGTATGAATATAAAATGTATGTGTACAACAATAACTGTATAATATTTGCTCAGTTATTATTATTATTATTATTAATGGGTTTAATTGCTGAGGCTAGCTTTGCAATTCTATGCAGTCGAATTTCTGAATATATAGTCTCGGGGTAATGCTTACTAAATTACATGATGTTTGAAGTTTTTAAGCGCTGAAGTGGTGAAGGTGTTGTATATGTGAGTTGTCTGCCCTCCGATGTATGAAAACGAATGGATACGCAGACATGAAGCATACAATAATGGACAAAAAAGAGAAAGCAGGGTATTTAAATGGGACAATCTTATTTTGTTTTTCTATTAAAATGTATTTTTGCACTTCTCTCTGTGTCTCTTTCTAAAGCTTATGGTTTCATTTCAGGATCTTTCTGCTTATGCCATGCTTATTGTTCATTCTTCATCAGGTTACCATACTCATCCAATAAAGCATGGATGTCACAGTATCAGATGGTATTAGGGACTTCATGGTATCATGGTACTACTATATGTAAGTGTTTAAAAAGCAAAAACATTGTATTACCATATATGTCCGTGGTATGTTTTTATGGAAATGCCAATCTATTTTGTAATGTTACATGTATTCCTTTGCCCAAAAATATATCTGAATTAATTTCAGGTTGACTTTAAGTGTAGCATATATATATATATATATATATATAGGCTGAGCTCCAGAGATGCAGTCGGGAGATGGGAGAAAGTTGTAGAAAGTCAACCATCACTGCAGCCCTCCACCAGTCGGGGCTTTATGGCAGAGTGGCCCGACGGAAGCCTCTCCTCAGTTCAAGACACATGAAAGCCCGCATGGAGTTTGCTAAAAAAACACCTGAAGGACTCCAAGATGGTGAGAAATAAGATTCTCTGGTCTGATGAGACCAAGATAGAACTTTTTGGCCTTAATTCTAAGCGGTATGTGTGGAGAAAACCAGGCACCTGTCCAATACAGTCCCAACAGTGAAGCATGGTGGTGGCAGCATCATGCTGTGGGGGTGTTTTTCAGCTGCAGGGACAGGACGACTGGTTGCAATCGAGGGAAAGATGAATGCGGCCAAGTACAGGGATATCCTGGACGAAAACCTTCTCCAGAGTGCTCAGGACCTCAGACTGGAACTAAGGTTTACCTTCCAACAAGACAATGACCCTAAGCACACAGCTAAAATAACGAAGGAGTGGCTTCACAACAACTCTGTGACTGTTCTTGAATGGCCCAGCCAGAGCCCTGACTTAAACTCAATTGAGCATCTCTGGAGAGACCTAAAAATGGCTGTCCACCAACGTTTACCGTCCAACCTGACAGAACTGGAGAGGATTTGCAAGGAGGAATGGCAGAGGATCCCCAAATCCATGTGTGAAAAACTTGTTGCATCTTTCCCAAAAAGACTCATGGCTGTATTAGATCAAAAGGGTGCTTCTACTAAATACTGAGCATTTTTCAGTTTTTCTTTTTTAATAAATCTGCAAAGATGTCAACAATTCTGTGTTTTTCTGTCAATATGGGGTGCTGTGTGTACATTAAGAAAGAAAAAAAAATAACTTAAATGATTTTAGCAAATGGCTGCAATATAACAAAGAGTGAAAAATTTAAGGGGGTCTGAATACTTTCCGTACCCACTGTATATACATATACATATACATATATATACATATATACATATATACATACATATATATATATATATATATATATGATCATCATAAGTAAGCAAGGAACTGATATTTACCACTGTGGTTTTATTACACTTCATGAGTAGAATTTATAACACCTCAGTGTTAGTTTCTGTTTGCATTATTCATTTCATGTTCATAAATTAAAACTGTAATGAAAATGCTTTGTGTTGATTACTGTTTTGAGTTGACATGACTCCCTCTAGTTGTGAAACTATTGCAGTGCCATAATGATTATGGTAATTTGTTCTGTGACGAAAATAAGGTTAGTACTGGAATTTGTTTGAGTCCAAATAATATTTTTTTATATTTTAATTTTCTTTGTGTGGTTTCATTTCAGTGGCTATACAAGTTATTATTCAGGTGTTAATGAATAGGCGGCACTGTCACGTAGATTTCACGAGTCATTTATTAATATTCATAATAATACGTGCCATGTAACAGTTACTTTTTAGTAACGGGTTACTTTTTCAGTACTTTTCTTTTTTTTTGTTGCGCTGGTCAGAATAGACCTACGATAGTCGTTTGATATTACTGCGTTAGTGTATTTGCTGGGGAGGGTATAGTTTTACGTAACTTATTTTATATATAATTTTAGTCGTAGTCGTCTGCACATGGGATAGCCCGCATTTTAACGTCAAAAAATGACACAAAACGCCTTTAATTCTCGTTAAGCGACCAATTTACGAACGTCTGCCTTCGAGCCAATCAGTTAGGAGAACTGACAGACCTTCGCATTACGTAATTAATATTCATGAGGTGCACGTTTTCACCAGCAGGATTCAAAAATACCGATATTACCTATATTTTTATATTATACGGTCAGTTATCTTCCCTTGCCCAGTTTTTAAAACTATTTTAAATCATGTGAATAAAATTAAAGTTTTATTTTTTAAAAATCACATGTTCTGGTTTCCAGCCAATCAGAAGACGAAGTGTGGTTGAGAAGTTATAGATATCAGGTGTAATCCGCACTATCGGATTCGAGGATGGATGTGAAAAACTGAAGTTTATGGAAGATTAAGTAGCACTTCGAAACGGAACCTCTTATTTTATCCGACAGGTAAATTTTCAAAGTTGTAATCCACATTTAACGTTAATTCTTCCATTAACGTTACCATAGTTGTCAATTTAGAAAATGGTGCATTTGACGGTTTTTACAAACTCATAGCACGCGCTTGTCACACATTTCACCAAAAACCCACTTTTATGTTGTTTAAAACGACGATCGATTGTTTGCGAGTCAGTCGTGCAAGTATTTACTTGAACCAATTAGTTCAGGCTAGCGTCAATAACATGAGCATCGGTTTGATATGATGCATTTCTTTGTTTCCATCAAAAGGAATTATTAAATATGCATCAAATTGGTTTTTGGGCGGTGAATTTTAATTAATGACCCCATGCAATCAAAATGGACATTTGTCTAATCTACTGATAAACAATATTCTTTCTCAGGTTCATGCACTTTGGCCAAGACCTCAATGTGTCCTGCTTGGATAAAACTGACCAGACACTCCTTTTTCCTCTTCCAGTCCTGCTTGACTCCAGTTTGAATAACAATGTCCGATGATTCATCTTTTCATTTAAAACCACTATCAGTATACTCACACATGGTGAGCTCTAAGCAGCAGTACAATGCCAACAGACCAGTTTACAACATTCAAGTACACATTTCCAATAAAGAAGCCAGAGCACGTAAAAGACGGCTGGAAGATTCATGTTTCGATGAGACCTATGAGACCCCCCTTAAAAGACAATGCATCACAAGAACATTTTCCCCGGATGAGGGATACTTTTCTGTGGACTTTCTAAGCAGAGTCCAGGGATCGACACCTATACAGCCATTAATAATATCAAAAAACGTCACACCGCCTCGGTCAAAGGTCAATCAGCCTGTGACCCCTGTCGTGTCCACCCCTCTGTCCAATTACAAACCGAACCAGATAGATCGAGACCGGGAGAGCCTTCCCTCCCCGATACCAGTTCTAAAATGGGACAGAGAGGTTCCTGCGGCTGAAATATCATTGCGCACGTCTCTAAACTTTGATTTTTGCAGTTCTGTTGCTTTAGTTGGCTCTCAGGGACCTGTGAAAGGTGAAGTCAAGGAGGTCTCACATGATCTTATCCCAATCCATGAATCAAAATCCCACATCGCGCCCCCAGAAACTGTTGTCCCAGTGAAAGAGGAAAAAGGAGTGTCTGTCAGTCAACAGGCAGAGCCTGAGGTGACTCTGGGAAATGAAGAAACCACCGCAGAGAGCTTTGAGAGCACACTGCCGCTTCAGGTCCAGGTTTGAGCTCCATCCTTTATGTACTAGTGACATTTTTACTAGTTTCTGTCATTATTTACTCTTCCTGATGTTGTTTTATACCTGTTCAGTGGTATTTTGTCCATGATGGAATTCAAAAGGAGGACACTTGAAGCTTTTTCAATGACTATTCATATTGGCAACATCTTTCAAGGTCTAATATGGTGAAAAGAAATTAAATAAAAATATTCTATATTCTTATAAAGCCATATGATTTCCTCATGTGGGAAACAGACCAATTTTAAACCGCTAGAGAGAGAGTGCTGCAGGTGACGTATTTTTGTAGGCCAAAACCTGGAAACAAGTTAACATTTTAGTTTGTTTAGCCTACCTTTAGTTTTTTTACTTCTGGTGAATGTATTTAGTTCATAAAGATGTGCTCATAAAGATTTTACTGCTAATCACAACAATGTATATACAATTACAAATGATTATATATAAATTGTCAGTTTGTTGTTTCATACACATGCACAGACATTATTTCATACACGACATAGTCGTGAGATGCAAGAAACATGGCAAGCAATCTGTAGATGCGCCCATTACAACAAAAGACAATACTTTATTGAACCTTTTCTGATAAGAAGTGTGAGCTGCAAACGTGAGCATTTTTGACGATCGTTTCTGTCCAGTTCGCTCGTTTTATCGCGTTTAACCACAGCTGTCGTCGGTTTTTTTGTGTCACTCAGAAAACAACAGGCCAATCAGAAGAGAGGCTCATCAAAATCGACCTGTTCTCAGCAGAGCTCCTGAGAAAGGAGCTGTAAAAATATATTGAGATGGTTTTTGGTACTTATCCCGCAAATATATATTCTTAAGGACATCAAAACCTAAAATAAAACTCCAGAAAAGTGTAAAATATGTGACCCGGCTTTAATTGTAAAAACCAACATAGAAAAAGAGTTGTTCTTAGATATTAACGTGTTTGACAAATGACAGATTGTTTTTATCAAATGAAATGGTATAGTATACCATTTTGTTATACTGCAAATGACCTTTTTATGACTGGATTCCATGATTCTCTCCATGTTTTCTGCATCTGGCCCTAATGTTACACATTCAGCTTGTGCATTTGGTCACTCATCAGACATGTGTGCTCCCACTTTTCTGTGTCATTGTTAAACTGTCACTTTACGCACTGAGCAGGTGAAGTCCAAGGTGGTTGTTCCAGACAAGACCACCAGCAAACCTCCGGTGTTTTGTGAAGAGGAGTGGGAGAGACGGAAGAAGACATATGTCGAGTCAGTAAAAAGACATATGAAAGAGAAAGGAGCAGCAAACGGTACTGCACTTTACAAAACACTGATTTCGGTTTCGTTCAAGGTGTGTCATTTGTGTGCACCAAACCTGTAAAAAGAAGATTCCCCCTGTCTGCCACTGGTTGGTGAAAAATAACTCTAGTTATTGGTTGATTCCATGTTGCCGAACTGGCCCTGATACCCAAGCAGATCAAGTTTTGGTAGTCATAGGCCCGGTTTCATAGACAGGGCTTAGACTAAGCCAGGATTAGGCCATAGTTTAATTCAGACATTTAAGTAATTTTTTTATAAACATGCCTTAGAAAAAAGCATTACTGGTGAGCATCTTAAGACAAAACAAAGGCACTGACATGTTTT